TACTTAGCTCCTCTTTGTCCCTTCTCCTGCTGTTCTCTCATTGTTCTGTCTTAGTTCTTTCCATCTTCCTTTTCCATCCTTCTCTCAAGTTTTCAGCTTATATATACACACAATCACCAGTTCTGTGGCTGCGCTGCTTTCTGGTTGGGCGGGGCGAGTGTACTCGTTAGCTAGGTAGCCTGCATCACAGCCTGATGCACCTGGCAGGTAAAAGCCCCTTTGTTTTAAATTAATTGTTAAAGGGGGAATCTTTTAGAACTAGGGATACCACTTGGGCTATGGTAGAAAGGGGAGTTTAAGCTTAATTTGCACAAGAAATAAAGTTTTGTACCTAACATCTACCTGGCTTTGGTGGTTGTCTCAGTAAGATATTTTTACCTTTTCTCAGGAAACTAGCAGGTGATCTGAATGCTTCTCTATCTGCAGTCTGTCCTTGGATGTTTGAGAAGTATATCAGATGAAATCCTTTTGTCTAGAGATGGACCTGGCTGGACGCTGGCTAATGAAGATAATTACAGAAAGGCAGACTTCTGAGTCTAATGCTAAAAAGGAACAGAGGCCTGGAAAAACGGGGTCTTGACGATGTGACTGTTGTCAACACAGCTGGGGGATGTTATCCAAATACCCCAATAGTATAAGGGAAATTGTGCCCAATGGATGATCACCCACACTGTCAGAAGTTCTTGGGAAAAGAATCAAATGGGAAAGCTACAATAGCACACAAGAAATTCACTGCAGGAAATGGCTAATATAATCAAAAGCCAACATCACCAAGACTCCTTGAGTCTTGGCTTTATCCTCTGGAAGAGTTCTTGACTCTTCCAGGTAATAGCTTTTGGCATTGTCAGCTGACTTCCTACTTCATATTTCTGTGGCTCGCAGCACTAGGTGGCTCCTGATCTGCAACATTCCACCACCATTGAAGTTCTAATCCAGCCGTTTTCAACTTTCCTAATGCTGTGACCCTTTAACACAGTTCCTCATGTTGTGCTGATCCCCAACCATATAATTATTTTCCTTGCTACTTCATAACTGTAATTTTGCTATTGTTAAGAATTGTAATATAAATGTTTTTGGAGATAGAGGTTTGCCAAAGGAGTTGTGGCCTATAGGTTGAGAACTGCTGCTCCAATATGTCACTCAGCCTTCTAGACTGCTCCATGTTGGTGTGCCTTCTTTTAGAGAACATTCTGTATTTTGACCAAACTGTAAATAAGTCCATTTTCCTCTATCAATGCATCTGCTAATTATTCGAAGCAGCTGTAGGTTTGTGAATTTAAATGCTACTGTAACCCTTGGGTCATCTCTTTTGCCTAGTCTATCTCAGACAAACATCTGCCTACCCTTGACACATGATCAAATTTCTTAGCCCCTGTGTTCTCTAAACCCCATTAAGTTGGTTTAGCAGGACCCCGCCCTGTGCAATGACATTTCATTTTAGATACAAGGACTACACCCATAGGCAGTTCCCCAACTCACTGCTCATCAGATACAAACTCTTAGTAGTCTGCTGTGTTGGGAATGGAGCCAGATCTTTCTCCCCTATAACAAAATCTTTGACACTATATTAGTTACTTTCCTTGTTGGTGTGACAAAAACCTTATGAAAGAACCTAAAGGAAGAAGTGGGTGGTGGTTATCTTGGCTCACAATTTTAGAGTATAATCTGTGGTGGTGACATCATATTAGCAGCAGCTTGCGGCAGCTGGTCATACTGCATCCATAATCAAGAGGCTGTAAGTTGGTGATTCTCAGCCTTCCTAATCCTGTCACAGAACTTTAATACAGTTCCTCATGTTGAGGTGACCCCCAACCATAAAATTATTTTCATTCCTCATAATTGTAATTTTGCTATTGTTATGAATCATAAGGTATAAATTTTTTTGGAGATAGAAGTTTGCCAAAGGGGTTGCAACCCACAGGTGGAGACGAGGGCTGGTGCTCAACTTTCTCCTGTTTATGCAACCCAGAACCCCAGTCCTAGGAATGGCACTGCCCACATTCAGGGTGGGTCTTTCTGTCTCCATTACCTGATATAGACACTTCCTCACAGGTGTGCCCAAAAGTTAACCTCTTCTAGATAATCTTTCACAGGCAAGCCCAGAGACTTGTCTAGATGATTCTAGAGTCTGTCAAGTTGACAGTTAATATTAAGCATGGCAGCACCTATTGCAATAGTACTAAATAGGGTTTTTCTTGCAATTTTAATGTCTTAACACATGTCAGATTTTTTTTTTCTGTAACACTTGTATCTAAAATTGAAACAGTGCTCAAAAAGCAGGCAAGACTAGAATTATAAACAGTGATCATTATTTTCCCATGGAAACATATTCACACATGTTAAGCTCCTTCAACATAAAAATGTTGTTTTCTATTTTAAATTCATATGCCCACTCTACTTAATACATATACATGAAGGTATAATATACATTTGGTGGATCTGCACATATATGTTTTACAGCTGAATTAATTAATTTTTCTTGTCATAATCTTTCATATTATAGCTAGGGATTCATTTTTTATCACTATAGGTTTTGAATCAATCATCTTAGTTACTGATTTTATATTATGTTTATAGTAATTCATTATGTATAGTTTATTAGTAAATCAGTAAATATAGTCTTTTTTTTTAAAGTAATAAACTTTCCTAACAGGATGCTGATAGTTCAACATTCTTTTTTTTAATTTTATATAAGAGATTTTCTAGTCGTGTTATATATCAGCCACAGATTCCCCTGTCCTCCCTCCTCCCAACCCCCAGCCTTCCCCCTAATCCTCCCCCCCCCATTCCCACCTCCTCCAAGGTAAGGACTCCCCTGGGGAGTCAGCAGTGCCTGGTACATTCAGTTGAGGCAGGTCCACTCCCCTCCTCCCTGCACCAAGGCTGAGCAAAGTGTCTCAACATAGGCCCTAGGTTCCAAAAAGCCAGCTCATGCACCAAGGACAGGTCCCGGTCCCACTGCCTGGGGGACTCCTAAACAGTTCAAGTTAATCAACTGTCTCGCTGATCCAGAAGGCCTAGTCCAGTTCCATGGGTGCTCCTTAGCTATTGGTTCACAGTTTATGTATTTCCACTAGTTTGGCTATTTGTCCCTGTGCTTTTTCCAATCATGGTCTCAATATCTCTTGCTCATATAATCCCTCCTCTCTCTCTCATTGATTGGACTCCTGGAGCTCCATCTGGGGCTTGGCTGTGGATCTCTGCATCTGCTTCCATCAGTCACTGGATGAGAGTTCTATCATGACAGTTAGGGTGTTCGGCCATCCGATCACCAGAGTAGGTCATCTCAGGCACTCTCTCGACCATTGCCAGCAGTCTATAGTAGAGTCATCTTTGTGGATTTCTGGGGACCTCTTTAGCACTCTGCTTCTTCTATTCCTGTGGGGTCTTCATTTATCACGGTATCTCTTTCCTTGTTCTCCCTCTCTGTTCTTGATCCAGCTGGGATCTCCCTCTCCCCTAAGCTCTCTTTCCCCCCGACACTTGCCCTTCATTAACCCCCCTCACATCCAGTTTGCTCATGTAGATCTCATCCATTTCTCTGTCATTGGGCAAACCCTGTATCTTTCTTAGGATCCTCTTTACTAGGTAGCCTCCCTGGAGTTGTGAGTAGCAGTCTAGTCATCCTTTGCTTTATATTTAGAATCCACCTATGAGTGAGTACATACCATGTTTGTCTTTCTGAGTCTGGGTTACCTCACTCAGGATGATTTTTTTTTTCTAGATCCATCCATTTGCCTGCAAACCTCATGATGTCATTGTTTTTCTCTGCTGAGTAGTACTCCATTATGTATATATACCACATTTTATTTATCCATTCTTAAGTTGAAGGGCATCTAGGTTGTTTCCAGGTTCTGGCTATTACAAATAATGCTGCTATGAACATAGTTGAGCATGTGCCCTTGTGGCATGATTGAGCATTCCTTGGGTATATGCCCAAGAGTGGTATAGCTGGGTCTTGTATTTTGTTTTGGCTTAATCCATTTGTTCAAGGTTCTGTTACTCAAACTAAAGGCTGCACTTAGACTAGAGCCAATAGTCTGAAAAACAAACAAACAAACAAACAAACAAACAAACAAACAAAAAACAACACCAGAAGAAATGACAATGTCCTTTCATTCTGCTTCCAAACACTTCAACCAGGACAGGACCATCATGTATTACCCATCATACAACAAAAACAGTTTTCTCTTTCCTCTCTTGTTTCTTAAATATAATTGTTTACCTGTGGCAAGTAAAAAAGGGGAAAAATCCATACCCAAGTTGGCTAATTGAACATAAAAGTTAGTTAACAATTTTCAAAATTCATTTTTAATCTTATGTGTAATAACAGCTAAGAAGAGTTATTTACTTCTCATGGCTGTAAGCTTATCTAATTTCTGTGGGGGATTCTATGAAAAATTGTGGATCTTGTGCCTGCCCTGAAGGAACTTATAATCTAAAAGTAGTACATAGACTGTAAAACAACAACAAAAAAAAAGAAAGAAAAAAAAAGAAGAAAGATACTGACAGGCAAACTCAATTTACACTTTCTGAGTTTTACAGGCTTCAGGGAAAGCAGAAAATTCTATTGCATATTGCACTCATACCTTCTGATGGGAAAAAAAATCAATGCCTTTTTATATACTGCCAATCTAATGGATTCTATGATATGAACACACACACACACACACACACACACACACACACACACACACACACAAGGAATTTTTAAGAGGTGAAAAAATAAGCAAATCAGAAGCTAGGAGACTTGAGGATGAGCTTTCCAAAGGAAAAGAAAAGAGATAGACACAAACACATCACAGGGGTACACTTTTGAGAACCAGGAAACTCATAAGGATGGTTCCCCTGGCAACCCTCGTGTGGAGCCTGCGAGGCAGCACACAACAGCTCCTCCTGTTTTTATATTGCAATCCAGAGCTTGATTGTTTCCTTAATGTGGTTATTTTGCATTTTCTTCTGTTTTCTTTTTTTCCTTTCCCTTGTGCTTACTTTTACAGCTAGACCTAAAATCTGGTGGTGGTTCTTAATTCGTCAGAAATGCAAATTCTTGGAAGCAAATGAGAAGAACCAAGGAGGCAAAGTTTAGAGGAATTTTGAAGATTTAAATTCTAGAAACTGTAAGTAGGGATTTGTAAAATAAAAATTTCCGAGGATGCCCAGAGAGGAATTTCTGAACAATAACAAAGATGTTCTCCTCATCTTGTGGTTTGAAAAGATAGTATAAATTATCAGAAGCTTAATAATGGGCGCATAAACCGTACTGCAAACAGGCCAAACTGTGTGTGCTTATAACTTGGGCTGCCTGTAGTGTTGTGCAATTAGTCTGATGTACCTTACATCTAATGGAACGAAGAGCGAAGATTACCCATCAACCTCTAGGCTTCATGAGTCTCCCTTCAGATTTCTATTTCTTTCCTGCCTGTGACCCTTTCTGTCCCTTTGAAAGTCAGGACTTAATTTCCTATTATGCCCCATTCAGCCGAGCTCTCACTCCTGTTTTCTTTTACTTTGTTTCATTTTCTTTTAACAATCCTCTTAATCTTGTTTTGCTATGCATTGCTAGAGATAGTCGAGGGAGCTTGCCAATTGAGTTCTGTGAAATTAGGCCCTCCATGCTGTTCCAGGGCCCTTTTATTTACCATTAACAAACCTCCTAGAGTGTTTTCCTCGCCACTTGTTTTAATTCGTTTTCAATTTCCTCTAGCGTCCAACAACACAGTTGTCTTTCTCAATCTACACAAAACCTTTTTCTTCTCACTGGACACATTCATTCCTGCGTTCTCTCCAATTTACCTAAAAACATCTCTATAATCACTGAGCAGGTAGCTTTAGTGGGGGAGGGGCATATTCAAATTAAGATTATTCAAGAAGGAGGAGGTTATTAAAGCGATTCTTTACAAAGGTCAGAGGTGGATAGTCACCTAAGGATAGGAACCTCTATGTCCAAATTGTCAAGTGAAAAAGAGTGGCCTCTCAGTGTTGAAATAACATCTTTAAGAGTTGATTATATTCAGAGAACAATGAAATTCATTGGATGAATAATATCAGGTAAGTATTGTTGTGGGATAGAATATTTGTTCAACTAAAGATGTGTTTCATTTATTTATGCTGCATTTGTTTAATTATGTAAAGATGTGTTGATGTTTTACCTTGCCTGCCTAAGGCACCTGATTGGTCTAATAAAAAGCTGGATGGCCAATAGCTAGGCAGAGGAGGGCTCATGGACAGAGAGAAAAGGGGAGCCAGTCAACCAGCCAGTCAGGGAATAGCCAGCCAGATACCAAGGAAGCAGGAAAGCAGGATGGACAACACACAGATGAGGTATATGAGCCTTGGGGAAGCACATAGATTAATAGAAATGGGTTAATTAAAGTTTAAAGAAGCTAGCTAGAAACAAGCCTAAGTTAAGGCCGAGCATTCATGATTAATAATAAGTCTCCACGTCATGATTTGGGGGCTGGTGGTCCAAGAAAGCCTGCTATACAGTATGACTTTGAAAAGGTTAAAATTTGAATCTGATTTCTTGTCCTTTTCTCTGAATTGTCTGTTTATGAGGTCCATAGATCAGTGGGCCAGCACAGATAACAGGATGGAGTACAGGTCTAGGTAGACAAATGAGAAATATCTAGCATAGGCTTTCACAGATGGTTTTGTTGTCTATTACATGAAAAATACTATTTCATGTTTTATAAAGGCTAAACAATTTGCCCTGCTCCCAACTTTTGCAGGAATTCAAAATGAAGTGAGGCCGTGTGTGTGTGTGTGTGTGTGTGTGTGTGTGTGTGTGTGTGTGTGTGTGTGTGAGAGAGAGAGAGAGAGAGAGAGAGAGAGAGAGAGGGAGAGAGAGAGAGAAACCCAAATTTAAGTGTGAACCTATTGACTGACAGTCTCAACAAGTTAGGGTCCATCCATATGCTGATTAAAGATTTGAGTAACGGTCAGAATCAGAGAAGATTTAATCAATGTGTGGTGTTAAACAGGGTTTAGTGACCCTAAATTTATCTTTAGGATACTGAAATGAATTTGTAAGTAGAAGAACTATATCAGAGGGCAACAGGTATGGAAAACTAAATGGTTCTGCGCAAGGCAAGGTCTCATCTAACATTGTATAACTTAGGTCTTGCGAGGGAGTCTAATAATTTATTAAATTGTTGTTGTGATGGTTACCGATGACTGTCAATTTGACAAGATCACCTAGGAGACAGGCCTCTGTACATCCTTGAGGGGAATTACCTGGATTAAGTTAGCTTCTAGGCACGCCCGTGAGGAATTATTTAAATTAGGCTAATTGACTTGGGAAGACCTACCTTAATTATGGATATTACGGATGGCACCATCCTGTAGACTGTGGTCCTAGACTGAGCAAAAGTGGGAAATGACCTAAGTACCTAGCATTTATCTCTCTCTCTTTCCTAGGTGTGGATGCAGCTGCCCCAAGCGCTTGTCTTCATGACTTCCCCACCTTGATGGGCTATCCCTTCAAATCTGATAAAGTTGCTCTCGTCAGTGTATTTTATCACATCAAGGAGAAAAGTAATCATTTGTTATTCACGGTCTTCATCTCCTCCACTGTGGTGATATTGTGTTCCCCAAAATATTGTGCACCCTAATAAACTTATCTGGGGTCAGAGAACAGAACAGCCACTAGATATAGAGGCCAGAAAATGGTGGCACACACCCCTAAAGGTTATTCCAGCATTCCAAAGGCAGAGAGATCTGTCTGGATCTCTGTGAGTTCAAAGCCACACTGGAAGCAGCCAGGCATGGTGCCACACACCTTTAATACCTGGAAGTGATGGCAGGAAACAGAAAAGCATATAAGGCGTGAGGACCAGGAACTAGAGCCTGGTTAAGCTTTTAGGCTTCTAGCAGCAGTTCAGCTGAGATCCATTCTGGATGAGGACTCAGAGGCTTCCAGTCTGAGGAAACAGAATCAGCTGAGGAATTGGCAAGATTTCTGTTATACAGCACCACCTGGAGGTGTCCAATCCAGTTCTTACAAGATCATATGACTTCATCAGGCTTCTCTACCGTATTTGTTTAACTCTGGTGAGTGATTTGTCCTGTGTGGCTCCATGGCTGAGTTCCATTCTACTGGAATCCCAGTGAACTGCAGGGTTAGGACAATGACTTGTCTCTGTGCCCTGAACTGGGAAGGGTGGTGAGGCAGATTAAGCGGACAAACATTCTTTAATCATTATCACGTCTTTGTAGAATCAAGCAGGGGTTTGACCCTCTAGCACCAGGCTTTCTCTTTGGTTTCAGTCCCAGTGTGGGCCATGTGAATGGTCACTGTTGTCCAGTCAAAGCAGCTTCTACGAGCCTGCTACATGAATTATTAAACCACACATACAAAGCATGTACACAGACAGGTCTAAAAACAGAATTTCAGATGTTAAAAAAAGGCGCGATCAGGTAGCTGCATGTAAAATTTTGGCAGATGAAGGAGGTGAGAGATGACCATTGGGTGGGGAAAAAAAATCACAAACATTTCATGGTGTTGAGTCCTGTAGTAGTGTAGAGAATTTACAGGTACGGCTCTGGAGATGGCAGGGAAGGCATTCTAGTCAGAGAGAGTAGCAACGGTCAAAGCTCATCCATATTACAGCAAATAGCTCCCAACATTAAAATTAATTAAAAGTCTACCATTTCTACAGCCTTCTCAGTGGGAACACAAACGTATTTATGTATCTCCAGATTCCACCACAATTACTGGTAATTAATAAGTGTTGAAGAGGCTGGAGACAGTTAAGCAGTTAAATATGCTTCTTGTTCTTCCAGAGAACCTGACTTCAGTTTCCACTAGCACCTGGGTCAAGCAGCTCACTACTGCCTGTAACTCCAGTACCAAAGGGATGTAGCGCCTTTCCTTGAATCCATGGCACCCAAACCAGTGTGGCATACATACACACACACACACACACACACACACACACACACACACACACACACACACATACACACACAACTGGCATGCACACATGTGTGCATGCATGTAAATAAATATGATCTTTGAAATAACGAAAATCAATAAATGTTTAAATTAATAAATCATAAAACACTGAAATTATCTTTGTCTTTATATATTTATCATTCAAAAGCTCCCTCTGAAGTAATGTTCTTACACTATCAGCAATTATTTTTTCATATTATTGATAATTATTCATCAATTATTTTTCATCTGTAATCTTTGTTTCTTCTCAAGTGTGAGCTGTGCCTCAGGTAGCTCACATCTAGGTACAGTTCTCAGGAACCAACATGAGAAGTCCCTCAGCAGAATACACATTTCCTACATTGAGCTCTTACATGGTACACAATTGAAAAATGATTTACTAGCATATTGAAGCTGGCAATTAATATGCAAATCTGGACAAAGATTAGCAATTGAATTACAAATGCAGGAACAGTATAAGTTAACGACATACTTAGTGCTTAAGATGATGTGAAATATAGAGGACTAGCCACTGACTCAGTAACAGCAAATGGCGGGCAAGATTAATAAGGTGGAAGGTTGCCCCTGAAGACTCCTTTTTTTTTTCCTTTTCTTTAATAATGAAATCACTTGGTGTCAAACTCATAATGTCCCTATTGACATAATTCACAACAAGAAGAAGAATTCCATATTGTTTTGTGAGAATATCAACCAAGTCCATAGATATTTCAGCAACTGCCATAGTTGAATTATGAAAACATCTTCTGAATAAAATAATGCTTTGTTTCTATCTCTTGCTATTTAGTTCTTACAAAGTGAAAACATTTGAAATCTAATCTCAATTTCTCTTATCTGACTCAAACAGGACCTCCTGAAAAGGCTGTTGTCCTTAGCCTCATTCCAGGCAGTTTCCTGCAAATTCCAAGAGAATAGAGATTATCCATGTCACTGGCACAAAACTGTAGAGCCTTTTTCTCTTTTCCTGTTGGAGCCCAAACCATGTGATTTTGATGCCTGTGACTCCGAGTCAGTAAGTGGATAGCTTTGAATGATTTGCATGCATGTGTTGATAAACTTTATCCTGTATTCTTGCTATGTGTTTGAAGGCTGTTTTGCAAGCCTTCACCCATTTAGATCTAAGAGGGTATAGAATGAAAAACTATCTGTGAACAGGTTTTATGGTTTAGAGGGAATGTTGGGTAGTCCCTGTTCTCTGTGTGCCCCAAAGCTAAGAGCATGGACCCTCTGAGAGTATGAAGGTAAACATTCTTGTCAAATGATTAGATCCCTGCTTGAGATACAGTTGAAGTAGTTATAAACCTCACATCTTGCTTTTTAGATTTTAGATTGGCAGGTTAAAACATTTGAGTATGGTGAATCTTGGTTATAGATGTTTTCCTTCCCGGGGGCAGCCATTGTGTCCTGTTCATTCTCCAATGTCTTCTGTCTTCTTTGTAATAAATGGAGAATCATGGGATGGGATACAGGTAGGACATGGTATGTTAGGATGTATTACAGTCATTCTCAACCTGTAGGTCACAACCCCTTGGGGGGTGTCAATTGATCCTTACACAGAGATTGCCTAAGAACATCAGAAAGCAAAGATATTTACACTACAATTCATAATGTAGCAAAATGACAGTTATGAAGGAGCAATGAAAATAATGTTCTGGTTGGGGGTCACCATAATATGAGGAGCTGTATTAAGAGGTCACAGCATTAGGAAGGTTGAGAACCACTACTGAAGAAAGGGTTGATTTTGGCTTAGGGTTCCAAAACTGGTAGAGTCCAACATGATGGCTGAAGCATCACAAAAGTCAAGGAAAGCATGGTGGTGGGAGCAAGAATCTTGGGAACCCCATTTTTATCCATACAAAGGGAGAAGAGAGAACAGAAAATGGGGTGAGGTTATAAACCCTCAAGGTCCATCCCCATATTGTACTTCCTCTTTCAAGGCTCCATCTCATAAAGGTTCCGTAACCTGCTCGAACAGTACGAGTTACCACCTAGGTAGTATGAGAACCACCAAGGACTAAGTGTTCAAATGCAAGAACCCATGATAGACATCTCTCATTTGAACTACAAACAAACAAACATACAAATCCACAAAAAACAAAAGCAAAAAAAAAAAAAAAAAAAACCAACCCAAAAAAAGACTTTTCTTTGAGATGGCCTCATCAACTGGCAAGTTTGTGGACACTAATCATACTGGATGAGGTTTTTTTCCATCTTGATTTTGTGTCTTGAGTGCTTGCAAGGGTATAGAGAGCAACGTTTGTTTTCCTGCTTGCTGGGCAGCCTATACTTCTGGGTCTGTCCTTTAAAATGGCCAGTTATCAGTTTAAGGACTGAGAATTCACTTGTGGTTGGCCAGTGTGGTTCAACTTCACTGTCAATTTGACTGTATTGGAAATGCCCAGGGTATTAGTGAGACACATGCTCTCTTGTTTGTCATCCTGAGGACTTTTCCAGGAACGGATTAACTGAAGCAGTAACACTTGCCCAGATGTACATGGCACCATCCCATTGGCTAGGATACTGGATTGGACCAGAGGGTAAAAGAGGAAGGTCATCGGATCACAGGAACTCATGCTTCTGTTCCAGACTCATCTACAAATGAGCAACTACCCACGTATTACTGTCCGAATGCATTCCTCACCCCAGTGGGCTGTAACTTCAGACTACGAGCCAAAATAACCTGTTCCTTTGTCAAGTTGCTTCTTGGCAGGTGTTTGATGACAGACTTTATGAAAGTAATATAGGCGGACAGAAACACAGGTATCCAGGGCACCCCTATTTGCAGCTGGCATCCTGTTACCCTTTACCAACTTCCTGGGCCTTCATCTAAATTTAAGTCTTGCAGCTACCAAGGTCCTTGCATCTTTCCTATGCCTTTGCTGGCTGCCTGGTATAACATGGATCCTTGCGTCTTTCTCCTCATCTGAGAGTGACGTTGGATCATGGCGATGCATATTATACATCTTTTTGGAAGATGTGACTTGTATCGTGTGGAAGCCATAAAAAAGGGTATTGATTTGAATTTCATTTAGTATGACTGTACTCTCTGAAACTGGGTGAGAATTCATTCTTCTTTTAAATTTTCTTCCTGTTTTTTTTTTTGTTTGTTTGTTTGTTTTAAGACTCTTTGCTCTCCCTCCTCGACCTTGCACTGGCATGGGAACTTCTCAGTAAGCTGAAACCTGTCCCCAACTTTTCCTTTTCAATGTCTGGGTGATGGTAAGCTCTGTCTGTGCATGCAAAGATGGTCTCTCTTTTCTTGCTGGCTTGCCTTTACTAGGGATAAATTAGAGCTTCAGGTAAGACCTTCTGGCCTGCTTTGATAAAACCTTCTCTTCTGGTTTCAGCCTGCAGTTACTGGAACTGTGGCTTCTAATCCTTTTCTAGGGCTTGGGACTGTCGATGGGTTGGGAGTGGGGCATGTCCTGTGGGACTCAGAAACCACAGAAAAACCACCTAAGACTGGAGAGGCTGAGAAATAGACTGGATGTTGAATGCCCTCAGCCAGGATTTGAAGACATCCATTTTTCCTGACCCCTTGGTCTCTTCACCAAAATTTAGTTGACTGTACCTGTAATAGTATACACAGGAACAAACAAAACCTTAAAAGACTATTTCATTAGTATTGGAACAAAAACTTTAGGCCCTAAATTGAGCAGGTGACAATTTCTTCCATCTGCCTGAAATGTATTCTGGATAAAAATATACATAGACAAAGGACACACACACGAGTTATGTATTCTTGCATTTATGCTTGATGTAGTGCTAAAATTTTGGAACGAAAGTCATAATAATTTGAAATTGATTCCATCTGTGGCCATATATATGATATTTTCTGTCTTCTGAATGGTTTTATTAAACTCAACTTTAATTGGCTGAGGGAGAAGCAAGTGCTTATATAGATTATCTATTCTTCTTTTGTTTGTTTTTGTTTTTGTTTTTTGAGACAGAGTTTCTCTGTGCAGCTCTGACTGTCCTAGAACTATGTAGACTAGTCTAGTCCCAAAATTAAAGACCTGCCTGCCTGGGTTAACTATTCTTAAAATTTCCATAAACAGGGGCTGGAGAGATGGCCCTGTGATTAAGAATTGTTGCTGCTCTGTGGTGAGGATGAGAATTTGGATCCCAGCCCCCAAACTGAGCTGCTCACAAACACCTGCAGCACCAGCTCCGAGGGAACTGATGTGCCTTCTGGCCTACACAGGTACCCACACACACAAACCACAAATAAAATAAAGCACATGTTTAAAAATGCCAAAAATATAAGTATTAATGTAAATATTTTCAAGTTCACATGATCTGGGTAGACATTTGGTGAACAAGACTAGTTTATACCAGATGGCGGTGGCGCACGCCTTTAATCCCAGCACTCGGGAGGCAGAGCCAGGCGGATCTCTGTGAGTTCAAGGCCAGCCTGGTCTACAGAGTCAGATCCAGGACAGGAACCAAAACTACATGGAGAAACCCTGTCTTGAAACAAAACAAAACAAGACTAGTTTATCATGGCTGGTTTAATAAAAGTCGCTGGGCCTTCTGAGGCATAAGAACTGGATATGACATGAACATACATTTTTTTTATTCTGTTGGGATTTATAAGGCAAAGAAGCTTCTTTTATATCTACTATGTAATAAATGATGAAGAAAACAGTAAATAAAAATAAACAAATGAATGGAACCATACGATTGCCATGACTTCAGATGTTAAGCACGGCAGTTAAACAATTGTTTAACTGCAAGTTTAACTTCTTGGCTGTTTGTTTTTGTGGGTTTTTTTTTTTGATAGTTGTCTAATGTGTTATTGAAGAAACAATAAAAATGAAATAACATGTGATATTGTGTAGCTTTGTTTAATGGTTTATGTCATTTTCACAGTCCAAGTACAATTATTAGGAACATATGAATTCACGTTGACATATGTGGCATGAAAGGTTTATGATGATAACTTTCAGAAATAGTCACGCTTTAGAATAAGATCTTAGTTAGTCACAGTTCTCTAGAGAAGCAGAGTCAGTTCAGTGCGGGGGCAAAAGCCAGAAAAGCACAAGGACCCAGGGTGTAGTTCAATGTCAAGGCCCGAAAACCAGAAAGACTGAGCCTTCCCATTCTAGGCCTCAGACAGGGAAAACTTAGGGCCTGGTTTGAAGGCAACCAAGCAACAATTATCTCTCACTTGTGGGCAGTTGTCCCTGTTTGTTCTGTTGTGGAATTCCAAATCTGAGGAGGCCTGCCTATACTAGAGAAGACAATTGGCCTCATTTGTTTTGTAGATTTAAATGTTAAACTCACCTAAAGCATGATTAGAAAAACACCCAGAGTAATGTTTAACTAAATATTTGAGCATCCCATGGTCTAGTTACTTAATCATAATAAGTCTACCTATTGTTACATTTCACTAGTTTGTACCCATGCTCCAAATAAGGGTGGTTAGAAGTTGAATTATACTGAACATACTATCATGTCTCTACCACAGCTGAAATGGAATGGCTACTTTCTCCAGACAATGAACTAATGATATTGAGTCTATTCCGCCTTCTCCTTCATTTTGTAAAGCTTAAATGCTATGGTGTAAAATTAAAAATACGTAAGAACTATACTAGAAAGTGAAAAACAATCCTATGTACCTAAAGGAATACAATACAGAAAATGACAATGATATTATATTTGCCCATAAAAAGCTAGCAAGATATTTTTGGCAATTTTAAGTCTGAAAGCTAAGCAAGAGATATTCATTAAATACCAAGCTTAGTTTTTGCTACGGAATAATTCTTTTGTAGACTGTGAAAATTTGTCACTTGAATTGGTTTAATAAAAAGCTGACTGGCCGGTAGCTAGACATGAAGTATAGGCAGGACAGCTAGACACAGAGGAGGCTGGGAAGACGGAGGGTGGAATCAGAGAGACAGTTGACAGCTAGACAGAGAGTAAGCAAGATATGCTAGAGAGGTAAATGCCACAAGCCTTGGGCAGCACATAGATGAATAGAAATGTGTTAATTTAAGTAGTAAGTCTGAGCTATTGGCTGAGCATTTGTAATTAATATTAATTCTCTGTGTAGTAATTTGGGAGTATGGCTGGTAGGACAGGAAAACTCCACCTACGATTTCTAAATAAGATAAAATATTCAAGAACTCAAAATTTTAAATTTATGCACCATTAGCCCTTTATTTCTAATATGACTAATGATATATTTAGATCAATTAAATAAGCACAAACTTTCATCAAATTGAAAAAAAATTCTTGTGCCATCCAAAAGTAAATCTGTTCAGAAATTTCAAGATTATATATTTATGAAATTTGTTAAGCTGCTACAGAATGCTGTAATATGATAGATAGTTTACTGTTCAGTGTGTATTATCTAAGTGTGTGTGTGTGTGTGTGTCTGTGCCTCTAGGTACACATGCTTGTATGTGTGTGCACAGATACACATATGTGTGTGAGTGTCAGGATATCACAAGTTACCAATTCACTTAATATGATTATCTGCAGAGGAGAGACATCCATTTCTTTTCCTGCAAAGGACTTGACTTTGTTCTTCTTGATGGCTGAGTGAAATTCCCTTGTGTGGATATATCACATCTCTCAATTATTTCTCTGCTGATGGACATCCAGTCTGCTTTATAACTTATTGTGAACAGCGCTGCAGTGAACATTGATCAGCAAGTATTCCTGTGATACAATGACAAGGAAATACCCAGGAGTCACGGCACTAGATCATAAGGTAGAACAATTTTTAGTTTTTTTCTTTGATGTTTGTGCATATGTTTTTGTGTGTATGCACACATAGATGCATGTATATGTGCTCAGGTGCATATGCAGCACATGTGTGCATTCATATGGAGGTCAGAAGACAACCTTGATTGTTGCACCTTAAGGACTGTTTGTGTGTGTATGTGTGTGTGTGTGTGTGTGTGTGTGTGTGTGTGTGTGTGTGTGTGTGTGTGTGTGTGTGTGACAGGCTATCTCACTGGGCTGGAGCTGGCCACATAGTCAAATATGGCTGGTCATACTTCAACGGATCTTCTTGTCTCTGCCTTCACAGACCTGGGACTGCAAGTCTATACCACAATACCTGGCACTTTTGTTTTTTAACGTGGATTCTGGGGATCAAACTCAAGTTCTGCTGACTGCAAGTCAAGCACTCTGCTGACTGAGCCATCTCGATAGCTGCCAGTGTCCTTTCTTAAGAAAAGGACACTAAATGTTAGTAACTGCAATCGTGTACATAAAATTATGAAAACAGTGAAGACGAATGTGAATATTCTACACATCAGGTAGGCAGGCCATGTAGGAGGTTCTTTGCTAAGAGTAAAAGAAAGGAAGATTATCTTTTCAAAAATAAAACAACACTGAATGGGGTGGAGAGTACAGAAAAAAATCTGAACAGATACAGAAAATTGGAAGAGGTTTGTGAGAAAGAGAGATAATCCTTTAAGGTCATGTTGGCTAAGATTTGGACAAAAAAAAACCAGACTTCTCTTTTCTCTCTGTCTGTGTTAAAAAAGACATATTCTTGGACTATTTTGTTATTTCCCAAATAAATTACTAGGCGAGTTGCTTTATTTTAAATAAATTGGACATAAGATAAAGATTCTTTTATCAGAATATTTATTTTCCAGTGTTTTTAATCATGTCTTTTGCTACTTAGGAAAATTTCTTTCAGTATTACTTTTAAAAGGCAGTGTGTATAGAAATACTCCCTCTTCCAGCCTCTTCTCTCTTCCTTTGCCACTTGGTTAGATGCCCAAGCATTGTTTTATGGTACTCTGTGAGCCTATTTAATTGTGTGCAAATTTTTGATATGTTTTTTTTTCAACTCTAGATCTTTTGCTTTCCCAGAATCAAATCCTGAACACAATGCTGTTTGAAAACTGCCTATGAGATTTTCCAGAGGACCCCTGGAAAATCTTGTGTTCTTTCTTTCTCTTTGTGAACAATAAAGGTACTCAAATCATTAGGTTTCTGCAATCGGTTAAGTTGAATGGGAAGCATGGTTGCATAAGAAGCCACAGGTAACTTCTCAGCTGCATGTGAGCATGTTACTGACGACTGGTAAAGGCACATGAGCCCCTAGAAGTCTGTCAGCATCACCACATATGCCCCACTTAGAGTGTCAATCATAATTCTGGTTGTCTTAAAATATGTGACATGGAAATATATTACTCAAATTCCTCATCAATTATCCCACTTTAATAAATTCCCATTCTATCTATAGCTACAGTTATTTTAAATATCACGTTATCTACAGGTAGTTGTGTGTATGCCTTCTTTAAGGCTCTGGCAATCAGCTCTAAGCTGAGATGATTCATCTCTAAGGAAAGAGACAGTCTCCAAGATCTGCTCCTAAAAATAAAGCTGCTACTTTGTGTGATCTAAAACTATAGAAATAGAAGCACACCAAGCAATTCTGTGGCTTTCTTTTTTTCACAAACATTTCCTCCTAAATATTTATGTTGTTTCATGTATCTTAAATTTCTTCTCTTAAGTGCTGTCAATAATGCTACCTTTTTATTTTATAAACAGTTTTTTTCCAAATGTATCTTCAAAAAAATCATTGTATTGTTTTTGATGAACTGAAGTTTAGCTAATAGTTTGTTTTCTTTAAGATATATATATATTTTTAAGAGATATATTGTTAAAGAGCTCTTTCCCCTGATGTCATAAATCAGCTCTTCTATGTATGTCCTTAGAATGTACCCCTATATTATTCTCAGGGCAATCTTTATTTACTAGTTGGGTTTTGAAGATGTGACTTGGTGATAACTCTTCTTGTGGCAGATTACTTAAATTTCTTACTATTCCTCAGGTCACATGGAGCCTTCCAGGCATGGTTTATTTCAGGATATAGATTGTTTTATATTCCTCAAAAAAAAAAAATGATTTCTAAGCCTGCAGGCCTGATGACTTGAGTTTGATCCCTGAGATACTCATGCTGTGATGAACTGGTTCCCCAGAAGCTGTTCTCTGATCTCCACACGTGTGTTATGACATACTGGCAGACATTTGCACACAGAGGAAAACCAAAGCTTAGCAAATGGTTTATACAGTTTCATTATAAAACTTTTGCACATTTAGGAAAATTTATTCCTAAGTACTCTTTTATCCTATTGAAATTATCCTTCGATACATACATATATATATATATATATATATATATACACACACACATATATATCTCACATATATGGTATATATGTATATATATCAATATATATCACATATATGGTATACAAATGCATCACATACATGTTTACAATGTTCAAGATGTAATGTCATGTCAGTGTAAGTTCATTTTGCATTTTACGCATCAACTAAGCTTCGTTATAGTCCATCAATGATTTGATTTTAATTTAATTTTGTTGCTTTAATCCTCTGGTGATGACAAACACAGTCTTCAACTGACATGATCATAGAGGAAATGCTTTCTTTGGAAGCGAGCATGAAAGAAATTTTGTTGTTGTTGTTGTGACTTCTTTGTTTTGTTTCTCGGGGATGGAGGTGAGGGAGCACAGAATGCCGTTCATCAGGTTAAGTAGCTAATTCTATTTCTAATTTTCTGATAATCTTTTTTTTTTCCTTTGAACAATGAAGATAGTGAATTTTATCAGCTATGGAGATCGTGGTTGTTGCTGCTGTAAAATTCATTGCTGTGATGAATTATTTTAATCTATTTTCTAATGTTAACAATCTGTGCTTTCCTGGGGTAAACCGGATAGTCAGTGTGCATTGGCTCTAGTTCACATCATTGGGGTCGGTCATGCGATATCGTATTGAGAACTTTTCTAATACTATCTGTGTTGTATTTTAGCAAGAATATTTAATAGCCTCATAAATAAAATTGAAATTTGTTTATCTCCAGCAATTCTCTTTAAAAATAGGATTATTTGCTTCTTTTTAAAAGTTATTTCTTATTTTGAGATTATCATAAAATTTCATCATTCCAATCCTTTCCTTTTCTCTCTCCAAGCTCTCATATATACCCACACTTTCTCATGTTCAAGTTCACGACCTCTTCTTCCTTAATTGTTACTGTGTTTTTATAAGTCTATCTATCTACACATGTTACTTGAACATATGTTTTCAGAACTTACCATTGGCATTGGATAACCAATTGGTGTGTTCTTCCCTGGGGAAGATTATTTCTCTCATTCTCAGCATTCCTTAGTTGTCTGTAATTTTTTTTGTGTGTGTAGAATTGAGGCACTGTGAGCTTTCCTCTCTCCACTTTGGCATGTCTATTGTTGTTGACCTTGTTCAGCTCATGTTTAGGTAGTCATTTCAGTGAGACTTCGGGGGTGTAGGTTCTGACAGAGCTAGAAGACACAGTCTCACAGTATACTCCTTTATCCCCTGGCTCTTACAATCTTTCTGACCCTTCTTTTACAATGATCCCTGAGCCTTAGATGTGGGAGTTATTTTATAGATGTATTCATTTGGATTGAGCTCCTCAACTCTGCATTTTGATTGACTGTGGTTTTCTGGAATGGCCTCTGTCTGTTGCAAAAGAAAGTTTCCTTGAAAAGGGGTGAAGTGGGTATAAAAACACATATTTAGAATGTAGTTAGGGGGATGTGCTGTTATGCTGGCTTAGAAAAGTCATGGTTATGGGTTCTCCTCCAAGATCCATGACTTCAGTAGTCTAGGCATGATTTCCCTCTTGCTGAGAGAGTCTTAAGTCCAATTAGAGATCTATTCACTACTGCCCAAGGTCTGAGTGCTGCTACTGCACCATTAGTGTTAGTTAGTGTGTCATGCTGGTTGTTGTGGGTCATAGGTTCCATAACTGGGCGGGATTGTTGGTTGCCTCCTTCCTTTGGAAGGGCTTCTTGAATACTGGAAAGAAGTTGTCAATCAACTAATATATATCCTCTTTTATATCATAGTTGCCTTCCTTATGATGCCTTCCTATCAGCCTATTTGCCTTACTAAAATGTTCTGTGTTTTTAAAGTTTTTGTTGTTGCTACTATTTCATATTTAGAATTATTCATAGAAGTAAATTGAACTCTTCCAGGGTAATGGTGGATGTGTCCATTTCTCTTATAGCTCTACCATTTTTAATGGTACATTGTTGAAAAGATTCAGCTTTGGGTCATAATTTTCTGTTTAGAGGGCTTTATCTTACAGCACAGGATGCAGACTGAATAAAGGCAGGGTACTATTTTTTTCTCTTGTATTTATTTATATATATCACGCTGCATTGAATTATACCACTGGTGTGATCGCATACTGTGTCTTCCCCAAAGGGTCTGAATGACAGGGTGATCACGTGACCATTGAAAGCTGCAGAGCAGTCTTGCCTAGTGAAGAAGGCACAATTCACACCCTAGAATGACGCACATTATACTCTAGAGGACAATTCACACCCTGGATCAACCTTCTAGCATAAGGTGTTGTATGACAAATATACGCCCTTGAAAAGGAAGAGATAGAAGGAAAAACAGCCTTATGGTCATAATTCAGACACCTGGCTCATGGAGCAGGGCAGAAATCCTAGAGATAAACCTGAACAGAGACCAGAAACAGAGCTTTGGCAAGAGCATCAAAAGGTCAAAGCAGGCAAAGGATAGTGTATTTAGGAAACAATGTGGGGGAAATTAAATTTGCACATGCAAAAAATTGCATCTTTATTTTACACTTGAACAAAAACTGGCTCTAAGGGGATATGGTCTTGGCATGTCAGGCCTGACACTATAAATCACCTGGAAAAGAGCCCAGGGGAAACACACCTGGATGGTCCTGGTAATGAGCTTTTAGATATTGCAATGACCGTTCAGACCACAAAAGCAAAGCCAACACTGCATCATCCTAAAATTATTCTCCACAGCAAAAGAGAAAATTAGCAAAATGAAACAGCTGCCTGTGGATTGAGACGCTTGCAAATGATTTCTCTGATAAGAAGTTATACTGAACTTCATCACTCAGTAGTATGAAAGCAAACAGCAGTTAAAAATAGATAAAGGGCTCAAATAGACATTTCTCCAAAGAATACGTACAAATGGATGACAGGTATGCGGAAAGATGCTTGTTATGGCTGGAGTCTGAGGTATCCCCCGAAAGACTCAAGGGTTCAAGGCCCTATCCTCAGTTGGTGGTATCCTTAGCAGTGACAGGATCGTGAGGGCTCTGATTACAACAGTTGATTAACAATGATGGGTTCATAGGTGAACGTTAGGAGGTGAGGCCAAGTTAGAGGAGATGGGTCCCTAGAGATGTGACTTTAGAAGATTTATCCTATCCTTTGACTCTTCCATATGAACATGAATAAACAATAAAATTGTAGCTGGAGTTTTCCTGCCTGGCCCATAGTCAGGTAAATCTCTCTTACCCGCCAGGCCCACAGCTGCTCAGACCCAACCAAGTAAACACACAGAGACTTATATTGCTTACAAACTGTATGGCCGTGGCAGGCTTCTTGCTAACTGTTTTTGTATCTTAAATTAACCCATTTCTATTAATCTATAAGTTGCCACATGGCTTGTGGCTTACCGGTATCTTTTATATGTTGCTTGTCATGGCAGCAGCTGGCAGTGTCTCTCTGCCTCAGCCTTCCATTTCCCAGAATTCTCTTCTCTCCTTGTCCTGCCTATACTTCCTGTCTGGCTACTGGCCAATCAGTGTTTTATTTATACAGAGCGATATCCACAGCATAAAATGTTGCTCAGCCTTGAAAAGGTGGTACTTCTAATTGCCATTGAATGGATGAACTTGAAGGGCATTTTGTTAGGGGAAATAAAACAAAGAAAGAAAAACACTACATGTTCACACCTACTCAGGGAGTTTTTTTAAAAGGTTAAACATGCAGAGATAGAGAATAATTAAAAAAAGCAGCAGGGGGAAATCAGGGAAGGAAATGAAAAATATAATTTAAAAGATGCAAAATAGCAGACCCATAGGATGAAAAGTCTGAGGATCTGGCATGTAGGATGAAGACTCTGGCTGATAAAAATGCCTGCCTTTGAGAAGATGACTACATTGTGCCAACTCTTGCCACAAAAGCAAAGGACATAACTTGAAGTGATGGACGTGTTAATTCGTTTCTCTGTAGTTACCATTTTTTCTGTTTCTAGGGATCCTACCATATCATCTTTCATACCTTAAACCGACATTGCAATGTTTCTTAAAAACAACAACAAACAATTGGTTGACTCTATGAATCATCAAGCTCAGTGTCTCAGTGGGGGAAATTTGGCCTTTCCTTCTACACACAGTTCTAGGCTTTTGTGTTTGAAAACATCACATTTCCCAAAGCAAGGCATTTTACTGGGAGGAAGAGCAAGACACCTACTGACTTTAAGTTGTGTTCCCTGCTCTGCTCTTCGGAACTCTATAAGAGATCAAACAGTAAAAAGGATTTACCTTCCTAATGGGGAAAATTGACCCTGATAAACCGGAGAAAGTTGATTCCACAAAGCGTTAGTAGTGAGGATGTAGAAGGCACACAGCAACCCACTAAGGCGTCTCTTGATAGTTCTTTGCCCAGTTATAAATAAATGTTATTTATTATTATTATTATTGTGCATGTATGGTGTGTTTGTGTGTGAAAATATGCACACACACATGTCTTCACATGCCACAGTCATGAGTGACGATCAGAGGACAACTATGTGGAGTTAATTCTCTCCTGTGAGTTCTGGGGCTACAGCTTAGGCTATTCAGCTTCTGCGATAAACACCTTTGCCTGCTGAGCAAGCTTGCTGGCTCCTATGCCAAAGAATAATTTTTTTCCATACTGTACTGCTCTCTGGAGAAATCACATGTCAATTCCCTACATCTTTCAGGTTTGTCTCATTCCAGACACAGATCTCAACATCTGTGTTTGCAGACCAGAGAGCTGCTTATAGCATCAGTGTCTACAGTATTTTGCCATCAAGACCAGTCACCCATAATTGATGCTGTCAAGAAAATGAACCACACTTCCTATAACCCTCTACTTAGGAACACAGAGAAATCTGGGGCACCAATTAGTGTATGAGTTATATTTTTTTTTAGACTTGTTTAATTATGTGCACAGAGTGAGTTAAATGAGGTCATATGGGTATATGCACACTTTTCCATTAGCCACACTGTTGAAAAAGTACGTTTTATATGCAAATCAGCATGGGTAGTAATTAAAATTCTCAGGAGAATGAGAGCCAATAGTGTATGTGCATATGCATATGTATATGTACATGATCTATGTGCATATGGGTGCTGCTAGTACTTGTCTCAGCATGCCAAAACTAGAGAGTCCTGACTCTTATGTTCAAAGGCTAGAGGAGGTCTTTCCACATCCAAGAGAAAAATGAAATTCACCTTCCCTTCACATTTTTATTCTTTGAGGGCCTCTGACCAATTGGATTGTATCTGTACACAGAGGGTACACTTCTTTTTTATTCATTGCAATCTCTCCAGAAAATATCCCCTACGATCTCCCCCAAAGTTGTGCTTTACCAGATATCAAAGAGTTCTCAGTTCTATTAAAGCATTATCTAAAATTAACAATGGAAATGATTAATTTTGTGCCACAACCCATATACATAGTCATACAGCTAAATAAAATTTAGCTATTCCAGTAGAATTTATTTCTGTATATTTTGATATTTGAAGCAAATATATGCTACTTTTCCTGACTCTTTTTTACTTATAGGAAAAGTTAACATATATGTACAAAGTGGTTGGAAATCATTAAGTACATCTCAGAGCACCTAAATGAGAACTTCCTGATTTCCCGTAGATACTGAAAAATGTCATGGACAGAATGGTTGGATGTGTTGGGAAGTGTTGAGTATTAACATCCTCTGAACTGAAGCCTTCTTTCTTGGAGGAAGGATCATAAAACCCAGGAGAGTAATAAAACTTGCAAGGCCCAGAGGACTCA